TTGCTCTGCTCCCCTTGCTGTTCTGTTGCACACCCTTAGTGTTTCGCCTCAGTGTACTGGGGTCAGATCGGTGCAATTCTCACACTGTCTGCAGTGTTGTCCCCTGTAGTGTTTTGGGTCAGTGAGGGAAGTCATGTCTCATAGTGGCGGCCATATGGTCCTCTTTTTGCTTTGGCTGCTTTGAGCAGGAATATCATCCTCAGGGCTTGGTGGGCCAGGATGTGCTCCACTCCCTTTTCCTCCACCTTCATTTGCTCCCGTGTGCTCTGATCAGACATGTCCCTCTTCCTGAGCTGTAGCTTCAGTGCCATCCTCCAAAGGGAATTCTTCTGCAGGGATGGGGGGCTGTCCATGTAGTTGGGATTGGGCCTCTTAGACCGCTCTATTAGAGGAACAATGATTTTAAGAGTTTTCTTACTATGTTTCATTTTATGGAAGAAAAACTTGAACTTCCTCAAAAGTACTTGGCTTATTTATTGAGGTGTTTTCCAGCAACATTTAAAGCAGAATCCAAATTTCTTGATTTGCTCATCTGGATTAGACTTATGCTCTTAGATAACGTTTCAAGTAAAGTAAATTGAAATACTAACCAGAAGTATGTAATTGCATTGTGAAACTCATATCACTAGGGGTCATGTTGTAGAACACTAAAAAGAAATGGAATGAGTTCTTATGTTGCAATCGTATTTGATATGTGAGGACATCTTAATGTTTGCAATATAAAACATTATGTATATGAATATTAGAAATTTTATCTCCAATATTTTGGGAAGTTTACAGTTATAGTTATCATATGCTATTTTTCCTTACACTTTTCATGGAAATGCAGGACCCCTTTTTGACAAAAGATGAACTGGCAGGTACTTACATGCCCTATGAACTTGGACAGAAAATGAAAATATGGATCAATAACTCTGATGGAGCCACACCAGCTGTTGGCAAGGTAAGAGCCTCACAAAATTAGATGTCAGGCATTTTCTGATTGAGTATATAACTAACACGTTCAATTCAGATGACTCATCTCTTGAGTTCAGTTGAAGACTCTTATGTGCAGCTTCTTCAGCTGTGCTGGCTTCTTAGAGTTGCAGCGCTGGCCTGGACAATTTCATGTGTTTCAATCCTTTCATTCTCTATAAGGCTAACCATTTTTTATAACTTCTCTTTACTACAACTTTTCCTTGTGAAAAGTCAATGAATATTTATTGCCATTTTCCCATTGGGAATTGTACCTTTTTCTTCACGATTCATTAAATATTTAGTGTTTTCCATATAAGATTCCAAATATGTTTCCTAGACTGTTTGTATTTTAACCTGCGTATTGTGTTTCTGCTGAATAATTTAAACTATTTTGTAGCCATCGTGGTCTTCTTTCTTTTTATCCTTTGTTTCTGATGTCATATTTTGAATCTCCCCAAAGACCATTGTAACTTGTAAAAATTGGCTCCTATATATATTTAGATCATTTGAAAATTTTTAAAACATTTAAATCATATTTAAAAATTTATGTCTTGTTTATTTTCATGTATGATATCCAATATAAGTATGATGTAATTTTTCAAAATGGATAGTTAATGGATGAAGCATCATCTGTTGAATAATTCAGCATTTCCCCACTTTGAAATACTGTCTTTATCATGAAATAAATTCCTACAAAGACAAGCATTTATTTCTTACCTTGTAGCTATGTTGTTGTTGGTTTCTCCATTCCTTAATATGACTTTATGATTATTTAGGCCTATTAGTCTTCTAAAACTCTTCACCATTGCCTCATTTATCTTTCCAGATAAAGTATGTAGTTATAAATGTTGCAATAAAATTTGGGTTGATATTAATTTAAAATTATGAATCAGCTTAGAGAGACTTAGCATCTTTATATCATTAAAATTTTCTTACCCCAAAATATTCTATATTTCTTGATTTATGTATTTTTGGTATTCATGAGCATTCTATTGTTTTCATTATCTTGTTTTTATAAGCTCTTGCTGTGACCATGAATATATTACTGTTTCATTGCTATTGTAAATATGTTTTACATTTTTTAACCTCTCTGTATATAGGGCATGGAAAAGAATAACTGAAATTTCAGTAGCATAGTGAGAAAATATAACTTTGTGCATAATTTTACTATTAAAAGAGCATTGAGCTGTGGTGAGAAATAATTTCTCTTTTACCACTACTTTATTTCCTTTTACTGTGTGCTTAGCTATTTAACTTCCTGAAGGCTCAATTTTTTATTTGTAAGACTATAGAAAGGCTCAAATATAGAATCTCCAAAGGATCTAAAACTAAAAAAAAAAAAAAATCCCCAAACTCTGTGCTTAAGTTGCTGCCGACTCATAGTGACCCTATGCACCCGAGAGAACTGCCCTTGTGGGTTTCCGAGATTATAACTATAGGGAAGTAGAAAGCCCTAACTTTCTCCATATTGCTGATGAAGATTTTGAATTGCCAACCTTTTGGATCGCAACCCGATGTGTAATCACTACATCACCAGGGCTCCTAAAAGAATTAAAGGGCTTTCTACAAAGGAAACTTTGGATTGCTAATCACAAGGTTGGCAGTTCAAACACAAGAAGGTCATCAACAGAGAAAAATGAGAATATCTGTTCCTTTTAGATTTACAGTATTGGAAATACTATATAGGACAACGATGAGTCAGAATCAACTGGATGGCCGTGAGTTTGGTTTTTATATAGGTGCCCAAGGAGCCCTGGTGGTGCTATCAGATAAGTGTTGAACTACTACGTATAAGGTTGGTGGTTCAAAACCACCAGAAGCTCCAAGGGAGAAAACTGAGGCTATCTGTTGCTGTAAAGATTTATAGTCTAGAAAATCCTATATGGGGACACATTGAGTTGGATAGAAGTTTCTATACCATAGTAGGGTGCCCTGGTGGAGCAGTGGGTTAAACATTGTGCTGCCTTCTGTAAAGAGAATGTTTAGAACCCACCACTTTCTGTTCTCCAAGAAAAAAGATGCTGCAGGCTGGTTTCATAAAGACTAACGACCTCAGAAATCCTGTGAAGTAGTTCTACCCTGTCTCCTATATGGTCTTTGTGTGTCAGAAGTGAGTTGATGATATTGAAGTTGCACGCGCACACACACACACACACACTCACACACACTCACCATAATAGCTTATTTGTATTGTTTTGGTTGACTTCTTTATCCATCATAGGCCTGGCCCCCAGGAGATTCAGTGTTTCCAGACTTTACCAACCCCCTAACAACAGAATGGTGGATCCGGTTGTGCACGGAATTTAAGAACGTCATCGATTATGATGGGATCTGGATTGTAAGCCTAAATTTGTTATATTGAAGATTTCTTTTTTTGCTGGTGAAAAGGTGGAATGATCTCATCTTTTCAGCTTCATATAGCAGGCTATACCAAATTAAAATGAAAAGTCTTGTTCCTTATCTTATGTTTTCTGCTTCAATTCCTTTATGCTTCACTGGTGAGTAGAGAGAGCTTTTTCCTTCAATACTGGCAGTCTCTGTATGTGCCATCTGGACCATTGCTTCCTCTTAGTCTAAATGAGGCGTTTTAATGTAGGCATTGATGTTTATGCCTACTCCATGTGCAGCACTGGGGGTTTGCAGTAGTTGAAGAAGGAGTGGGCAGATAAGCGATTGCATGGTCATGATGGGGGAACACTGAAAGCAATAGGAATACAGATCGAGGGCATTGAGCTCAGGTCAGCTACCATGAGAAGTGAATGGGAGTTTGTGAATTGAATGGGGTTGTGGGTTGAAGTGTTTCGAGCAGTGAAGTTAGCGTAGGAATATAAGCAAAGGAAAGAGACCTGAGGAGTGGCTTGCCCAGTTCTAATGAGACAACAGTTCATTGTATATCTAATCCAGAGAAACACTTACAAGCAAAATCATATGGGCTGATGATTATGTGAAGTTGAGAGCACTCTTGCCACTCAACAGAGCCATCCCTAACCCCTGTTATTCACATACTTAAAAAGAGCAAAGCCTCCTATTTCTGTGTCGTTACTTGCCCACTTTCCTTCCCATTTCTCATCGTTTCCACATGTTAAATTATGTGGGTCCACTGACATGCAGTGGTCACAAGAACTTTTCTATGAATATTTCACTGATTTTCTTAAAATATGCTTTTTAAAAAAAAAAATCATTGGTTGTATTCAGAAGGCATTGGAGGGCTACTTAAAAGAAGCATTTCCTTGATATAAGCCACAAACAATATGAATAAATAAAACAATATGTTAGGTAATAATTACTACCAATGAGAAAAATTGAACTGGGAAGCAAGATGGCAAGTCAGAAATTTAAATAGTGTCATCTGTGAAGAAGAAAATAGGTAACAAAAGTGAGAGAAAGGCATTTAAACAGGGCATAGAGTAAATACAAAATCCTCAAAGCAGAACTATGCCTGATATTTTCCAGGAAGAGAAAAGAGGCTAGTGTACTAGAGTAGAGTGATGAGGACAAGGGGGGACAAGAATAGGGAAAATGTGAGCAGGGTATTGAGCCACTGTCACAAAGGGCATCTTTGGCTTTTGCTCTGTGTGAGATGAAGCAGCGCTGGAAGATTTTAAGTAGAATCTTTTAAAGGATCACTCTGCTTGCTATATTGAGACTAGACCGCCAGAAGGGCAAAAGGAGTGTGAAAGCAGTTGTGAATTCAGGTATTATAGAGCCTTGTATCATTTGAGTAGCTCTCCAAGGGGTGGGGGGGGCGGAAATACCAATAGAAAATTTAATATAAAAACATGAAGGGATCATACAGAAGATGATGACAAAACTTAAGTTTCTTTAGTTTACAGTTAAGTCCTCTTCTGAGCCCCTGTGAAGAAGGCTAGGTAATAGAAACCAAGGCAATGATGCAAAGCAAGAAACAATGATGGTGTAGCCTAGGATAGTGACAATGGAGTCAATGAGACATGATTTGATTTTGTGATTAGTTTGAAGGTAGAATTGACAGGATTGGATGATGGATTAGAGGTGAGCTCCAAGAGAAAGCAATTAAGAATGATTTATGCTCACAAACATTGGAAAGACGTAATTGACATTTGCTGAAATGGTTGCTATTTATTCCTACCTATTCCTACCTATGACCTTTGTGTATTTGTGGAACTGTTGCTGATTTGCCAGGATAGCCTCTTTGAGACCAGGGATAGTGTTTTGTTTATTGCTAAGCTTCTAGTGCACCATTCCACACATTTACATCTTCAGAAAATGCTTGTGGATGAGTGAATGCTCTTTCTTCTGCTTTTTCCCCACAATGGGAAGTAAGAAAACGATACCCACGATTACTCATTGAGTTTTTATTTTTTATGTGAGGATATGAACGAGCCATCCAATTTTGCAACAGGACAGCAGCCAGGATGTGTAAATAACAATTTAAACAACCCACCTTATGTGCCTGGTAAGTACTCCCAAATTGCCATATGTTTTGAAATAATTTTGCACTTTAGAAAGTGTAAGTTTCCTTTCAGAGGTCTCACCAATGTAGTAATACTCCAAAACTTTTCTAACGTGTCTGTACACAAGAGGTGAAAGATCAGCACTTTGAACAGGAGGAAGAGGCGATAGTTGGCTGCTGTGAAAATGTACCGTCTTGGAAACCTTAGGGGGCCCTGGTGACTTCCTCCTCCAGGGTTGCTATGAGGTGGAACCAACTTGATGGCAATGGGTTTGTTTAGGTTGGTATGCCTTTTGTCACCAGCAAAAGGGACAGAGAAAAGAGGAAGGCCCTCAACAAGATGAATTGAGTCAGCGACTTTGCCAATGCGCTCAAGCATGGGAACGATTGTGAGCACGGTGCAGGGCCGGGCAGGGCTTCCTTCTGTTGTTCAGAGGGTCGGACTCCACGGCACCAAACAATAAACGACCCTGTAAAGGAGGATTTTCACCTGCGGCTGACTAAAAGTAATCGAGAGAGGCCAAGTTTTTCCAAATGAGCAAAAGTTTAATAAGGGAAGAGCCTGCAGGTGGTGATAGGAAAGGCCTATGAAATACTTTCCCCTGGCCTCTTGTGGTAGTCACCTAATCTGGTGTCAATTTAAGGATTAGGAGTGTCAGGGTGGCATCTAGGCTGTCAATCTGGAGATAGCCAATGAGACTTCTGTGGGCATGGCCTTTTGCTGAGAATTCTGGGAAATCTGGTACTTCCTCCTTGGAGGTGGAAGACACCTCTCGCTCTCTGCTACTCCCTGGGAGACATTGCAGAAGAAAAAGCCACATGGATGCAACCAGACCTCGGAAGCCAGAGAGACCCCTGCCAACACTGAGATGTTTCCAATGACACTGGACCCAGAGACTTTCTACTCACTGGCTTGTGATCGTCCTGCATTTGGCTTCATTGCATGAGTTTTGTGAGTTTAAAGAGGACCTTTGGTCTGATTGATATCAGATATATGGGCTAATATCAGATTTATGGCCTTGGACTGGACAGGGTTGGGATGGTTTCTCAATGTTCAATTCCTCTTGTATATAAACCTCTCCCTTATATACATATGCATGTTTATGAATTTGTTTCTCTAGTCTACCCAGACTAACACACTTCTCAAACAAAAGTGTTGCTAGGATTTATAACAGTTTTTAGGTGAGAAGGAACATTATGTTTATTCATTAGGTAAGAAGGGATTTCCAGAAAAATAGCCCATATAGGCAGGGCCATGCTAATTAGGTGTTCATACAGAAGATCTTTCAAGGTGGATTCCATTGCAAAGGCTTACGGAACTGGAAAGCAAAACGTATTCTGGGTTGTCAGGCTTGCTTAGTTGCATTTAGTCCTGGATCTAGAAGGTCATATGGCGGTGGCCTCTGTGCATGCTAAGGCTAGTGGATCAACTCAAGTGTACCAAAGCACTCTAATGAGGAGCTCCACCTGTCGCAGTGAATACCATGAATATTCGCATTTGTTTCAAACTGAAAGCCATCCTTTTCCTAAACAACAGGCCACTTTCCTTCTTCTCTATTGAACTTGCCACAGCGAGTTTCTCAAAGAGGGTTTTGGCCAGCCCTACTAGCCTATCTCAATGTCCACAGAGAGTTTCTCAGTGTTAAAGAACGTTTGGATTGATTTGTTTGTGACAGTGGGTTAGCATTGCACTTCTGCTTTCACAGTCTTGGATATCCACACTGGCTGTAGTACTGTCTCACAGGGTCACTGTGAGTCGGAATCAACCGGAGGATAGTGAGTTTGGGGTAGTTTGTTTTTAGCTTAGTTTCCTGAGTATAACCTGTTTGAATTTGGGGGTGTTGGTACTCTTTTTCAAATCAACCAAATAAGAAAATGGACCAAAGTCACAAGGAGGGTTCAGCCAATTCAGCTAATCTGTCTCACGCTGGTGATGAGACCATGGGATGTGTGGACACTTCACCTTTGCCTTGGGAGTAACCGGAAATACTCTTCCCTGCTGATCCTTAGAATGATACAGGGAGCTAGATTTGTTGGTGAGGTGTAGCAGATTAGATTAAATTAGATCACTCTTTGGCGATAAGGTCTATTGAATTTACAATGTCCACATTCTTTGCTACTTCTACAATTAATCATATTCAAATGAAAAACTTGTGAAGACTGCATTAGGAGGTGGGTTTTTGTAGTCAAAGATTTACCCCTGGCTTCAGACTTCTCATTTGAATGATAATAGCTCTCATTTATATTTCCTTTGCAATCACTGACATTCGAATGTGCCAGGATGCCATTTCCACCGAACCAGCAGCAAAGGGGAAAAGTAAAACTGAAATAACAAACTTTCATTGCAAGACCTGTTAAACTACAAGGTCCTTCTACATGGTCTTGAATCCCAAAGATAGTAAGCTCTCTTCACGTGTTAGTGGTTGCATAAAAGAAATTATGAATATAAATTCCTCAGATTGTTGCCAGGAAACAAGGGATCAGGATCACCTGTCTCTGTTTCAGCCCAAGACAGAGACCAGGTTGATTTCAAGTTTATTCTGAAATGTTAGCCAGAAGGAAACAAAGGGGGTTGCTACTTACAAACTGCTTTTAAAAATGTAAAAATCAAGAAAGCTGTATTTCTTAAATTGACAGCCGCAGGTTTTTAAAATGATCATAGGAAATGATTAGCAGATTTTGCAATGATTGCAGAACACAATTGATTTTCTAAACAATGTGATAAGAATGCTGGTTTTGCAATGATCATAGGAAATTATCTGTACCTATATTTCTCCAGGGGCCATTAGACCACCATCCCCTGAAGCCTATGAGCTCTGGTCCATATGAACTGGGGGATGCTTCCATGCCTGGCCTTACCAGACACTACCCCCGAGGTCTCTGAATGGGTAATGTTTCATGACTGGCTCTGTATCTTTTTTAAAAAAATCATTTTACTGGGGTCTTTTACAGCTTTCATCACAATCCATACATCCATCCATTGTGTCATCCTATGTTGCCATCATCATTTTCAAAACATTTTCTTTCTACTTGAGCCCTTGGTATCAGTTCATTCTCCCTCTCCCCCACTGTCCCTCCCTCATGAACCTTTGATAATTTATAATTATTGTTTTTTCCGTGTCTTATACCTACTGCTGTCTCACTTACCCCATGGTTTCTGTTGTTCGTCTCCCTGGAGGGGTGGTGGTGGTTATGTGTCGATCATTGCGATAGGTTCCCCCTTCTTCCCCTTTCCCCACCTTCACTCTACCCTTCTGGTATCACTATTCCCACTCCTGTTCCTGGATTCTGGGTGTCATGAGCTCTTATCTCTTATCTGTACCTGTTCACATGCTCTGGTTTAGTCTGAAGTGAGAGGCAGCACTGGGGTCATGATAGTGGGGGGTGAAGAAGCTTCAAGGAACCAGAGGAATATTGTGTGTTTCATCGGCCTTTCCTGCACCCTGGTTGACTCATACCTTTCCTGTGACCCCTCTGTGGGGGAGATGTCCCATTGTCTACAGATGGGCTTTGGGTCTCTGGTCTAACCCCCCTCATTCTCAACAATATGGGTTTTTGTTTGTTTGCTTGGGTCTTCTGGTGCCTGTTACCCGGTCCTAAGGATGCATAATGATTTTACTGGCTGGTGTGCTTTTTCCATGTAGGCGTGTTTCTTCTCTGCTAGAAGGCTGCTTGTTTAATTTCAAGGCTTTAAGACCCCAGATACTATATCTTTTAATAGCTGGGCACCATCCACTTTCTTCACCATAGTTTCTTATGCACCCATTATGTCTTCAGTGATTGTGACAGCCTGGTTAACTTTATCCAATGCTACCATAGAGTCAAATAAGGTGAATACAGACTGTATCTAGAGTTTAACAATCTAGAGATTGGCAGGAGCAGTTTCACTGGAGTAGTGGGAGTGGATATCAAACTATAATCAGTTAAGGAGAGAGTTGGGGATTAGGAGGAAGAGGTAGTGGTGTATACACATTTTTGGCAGGATGTTTTTCTCTGAAGAGGAATCAGGAATGGAGCTATAGTTAAGAATGGGTCGAAAGGAATGTTGTTACCTTGTTTGTTTTCTAAGAAATGGGAGATACTGAAGTATGCATATTTGCTGAAATGAAAAGAAGGAGGTGCTAATCCAACAATTTGCCTTTCTGAAAAAAGGGATTTTCAGATAGCATCAATTGTGAAGGGACTAGCATTAAAAGAGGGGAACACTTCCTTGGAGCTATATGAAAACGAAGAAACTGAGTACCGATGTACACAGATTTATGGATTAGGTGGCAGGAGGCTAAATATATTCTCAATAGAGACACTTCTATTTCAAAGTACCATAAATGGCCTGGGAGGCCTTATCTAGCCACCTCAGACTTCCCTATTGCCTTGAGGCAGGAGTCGGACAAGTCTTCACCCTTCATCCTTTACCTTGTTCTGATAGTGCCATTCCACCCCCAGCACTACTTCTATCCTAGGTTTGGCAGTTCATTGCAAGGGCTGCAAGGAACACAGGAAACACTAAAGATTAAGGGGGCTTATTTGAGGAATTAACAGGCTACTACCAATCAGGACCAGTAAAGAGTAAGGATCCACTCATTGGTTCACAGCAAGCTCTTCTCAGCTGGCAGCCAAGTTTCTCTCTCAGCCATGTGGTCTGTTGGCCCTTGCATCTCCAGACTATGAAGCCCACCTGTCATTCTGTCTCACAGGCCCATAATTTCAGGCCAGAGGAGGAGAAGGCACCCACCCCATCATCTCTGCACTGCTGCTCTGAGTCTCTGTGCCAGTCTCTGGTGCATTTGGTCATGTGGTTGGCCCCTTCTGATAGAGACCTTGAACGTGCTCTTCTAATGGTCCTGCAATGCTCTCTTTCTGCTCCTGCCTCAAAGATGGCCCGTTGTTATGGCCAGGGATGAAAACCGACCAATCCCCTCTAAAAGCATTGCACACAGTCCCACCTAATCATTTGGTGGAGTTACTGAGACATGGTTAGAAGAGCCATCTTAAGAACTGTTATT